CAGTCAATCTAAAATATCTCTAAGTAATCTAGACATTCCATAAAGATAATTTTTAAAATGCTCACAACCCCCTTATGCCTTATTTAATCATTGGGTTTTTTATGGTTATCAAAGAAAAAGAAAGTGAGGTAATCGTTATGCATTCATAATTGCGTTTGCATTTTCTAAGATATATTTCTCTTTAATTTATATAGGGCATCCTTGATCAAACAATTACAATGATTCATTTTCTCTTCTATAGAATCCATTTAGCATTTGAGGGCCATCAGTCACACTGTATTTGTGTTGCTTGGTTATGTGAAAATTCTGAGGCTCAATTTTTAGCCACAGGCAACCTGTAAATCTTATTTTAAATTATGGTTTTCAGAAAAGTGTAACATGTAGTATCTAGAAGAGGAAGGGGTAGATAATTTTTGTCATCTCATCCAACTTCATTTCCTGTAAGAACCTAGAGATCTCTCAGAAAGGCTTCCGGGCTGCTGCTGAGAGAGCTGGGACAAGAACCAGAGCCCTGCACTGCCCTTCTCACTGCAGGACACTGCGTCTGTCTGTCGGGAGGTGCAGTACCCCCTTGAGTTTCTTGCACTCCTACATGTCTTGCTGGGTGTGCCACGTCTTCAAGGCCCTGAACACTTCCACCCAGACCATTTCTCAGTGTTAGTTATGCAGCTGGTAACCTTGAGAAATGAAATTTGTCCCAATTATCAAAGTTATTAAGAATGGAGCCAGGTCTGTTATTTCAATGCTTTCAACTACACAATGCATCACGTAGCCACTGAGAGGAAGGGAAAGGGAGAGGGAGAGAGAGAAACATTGGTAAGAACCACTGATTGGCTATCTCCTGCACACCCCTACTGGGGATCGAGCCTGCACATCAGGAAGGTGCCCTGATCAGGAATTGAACCTGTGACCTTTTGGTGCATGGGACAGCGCTCAACCAAATGAGCCACATCAGCCATTTCTTTTTTTTAAATGGCCCCAACCATTTAAATTTCTTTCTTTTTTTTTTTACAAGAAATCTATGTTTACATGTGCATGTGGCACTGGCACGCGCACACACACACACACACACACACACGCACAGTGTTATATATAAACATGCTGTCTACCTGCAGGAATGAATTGCTGAAATCCAATATTGACTTCCTGGGATGTAGCATATTTAAATTTTGCCAAATTGTCCAAAAGAATAAAGCACTTACTTATTGTCATACAAACAATACAACAAAAGGCACCAACATATGGGTAGTGGCTAACAACTTACACCCACATTCTTCATTCGTGTTTCATGTTGTCTTTTTAGGGTCTTAATTTCTTGGGGGGAAAAATCCACATTTCCAACAATTTATAAATCATCACATTTTTACCTGGGGCTGCCAAACAGTCCATTTTGAAAGCACAATATGCATTTTCCAGAAACCCAGTTCAGAGCTGCATGTATTCAATATAAGTTAACAATGAGTACTTGCGTATTAACTATAGGTTCTAAGACACATCACCTTTCATTTCTTGCATTTACTGTCTGAAGGGGAGGGACAATTTAACAAGGAAGCAGCTGCAAGAACAATGAACAAATCCAAAGCCAAGTGACTTTTAGAGTTGAGAAGTAAAATACACTGTGCAGCTAACAATTATATTAAGAAATGACAGGTGTGTTCCAAGTTGACTATTTTCTGCAATGAAAAACACAAAAAGCTAACCTTACAGTAAAAAAAGCTCTACTAACAATGGACTACAGGATATATTTCCCCTGCCTACCCCACTTTCCTGAAAACAAATTAATAGGAGCTAATTGGGATTTAAAATAGATTTACTAGTATTTTACTCTCTTGATGGCATCCCACTTCTCTCTTTCCCCCTTTTCTTCATATAAACATGACTGCAAGTTAAAACCCCAAAGAGCAAGTACATTAGTTTCCTATTGCTCTGTTGTAACAAGGATAAACTTCGTGGCTTAAAACAAGAGAAATGCATTCGCTCACGGTTCTGGAGGTCAGAGGTCCTGGCACAGCATGGCCTTCTCTGCTCAGGGTCCCCGAAGGCAGGAAAACAAGGTGTCAGCCGCACTGCGTTCTTACCTGGGGCTCCGAGGGAATCTGCTTCCAAACTCACTCAGGTTGGTTGCTGAATTCAGTTCCTTGTGATTGTGCAACCGGATCCCTGTTTCCTTGCTGGCCGCCCCATCCTCAGCCCTAGACGCCCCTCAGCCATGGTGAGGCCTTCTCCCTGGACGCCCTCCCCCATCCTGAATCCCATTTGCCCGGAGGAGCCCAGTCCCTTCTAAGAGCTCACCAGATTGGCTCAAGACCACAAAGGCTCGCACCTCATCTACAGGTGAACTGATCTGAGACCCTGATTCCCTGAGCAAAACCCCTACAGCTGCACCGAGGTTAGCGCTAACTGGGAGAAGGTGTGCGTACACCACAGTGGGAACCTTGACGGCCATTTCAGAATTCTGTTTCCAAAAGCACGCACATCAGGATTATAATCTCCCAACAGCAATTCTGATTGGTTCAAGACCACAAAGGCTCTCACCTCATCTACAGGTGAACTGATTTAAGACCCTGATTCCCTGAGCAAACCCCCTACAGCTGCACCGAGGTTAGCGCTAACTGGGAGAAGGTGTGCGTACACCACAGTGGGAACCTTGACGGCCATTTCAGAATTCTGTTTCCAAAAGCACGCACATCAGGATTATAATCTCCCAACAGCAATTCATAGGCTATTTTATTGGACCACCATTTTGGATTTGTCTCTCTTCTAAAAATAAACTTCCTTGGTAAGAGGTCTGCAGTTCAGGCTTAACAGATAAAAGCAACATGGAAATAAGAATTCTAAAAGCCAATTGCAATTATTTTAAAAATCTATTTCAATCACACCTAAGTAATTGATATATCTCATGGTAGCCTGGTGATTATTAAGTTCTTTTTAACCAAGGTTAAACAGTGACAATAATGCTCAATGAAGTAGAAGAGGCATTAACGATGTGGGAATACTGATATATAGTTATTTGACAATGAAAATGATAATTTTCGTATTATCAGCCATTCTCCTGAATTAGTTAGAAAACCATCTGAAAAGAAGTTAAGACTAGATTGAAGATTGTGGCACAGGTAAAGCCATCGGCACTAGGAATATCCCATCAGCTTTGCTAATGTAAAACAGAGGACTGTTTTATAGATTGTAAAACGTATCCTTTTTATTGCCCCACCCCCACCCCTTTCCGCTACTGAAAGTACAAGTCCATGTGTTAAGTAACCTTGTTCTCCTCAAACTGCCTTTAACCACCTGTGCAATTTCAGAAACGGAGCTTCTCTGGGCCTCACTAGCCGAATCTGTGAAATAAAACCATGTTAGAATTTTACAGCTGCAATGGACCTTTGAAATCATGATCTTTGAAGTTCTACCCAGCTCTAAAGTCATCATTACCCAAATATTAACTTTTAAAGAGGGAAAATATCCCACCTTGTTAGAGAAATGTGATATTTGAATGGATATAACATGGTTAGAATATGTTATCACTTTCAATTTTGGATTAAGTGTCTGCAGATGTGTTAGCATTTCAATAAATGAAGTGTCTTGATCCTGGCTCCTAACCCCCTTGCTGTTCCATACACCATACTATCATTTTGCTTATGTTTTCAAGTTCTTTATTTACATCAGTTAATAGAATCTTGTTATCCTACAAAATTATAGACACTTCCAAATTCAAAGTCTAATGTATTAAAATCAATTCAGTTTTCCTATAATAGTAAGGCCTTGACATCCTGCTTTTGCATAATCTGCAAGAAAGAAGGGAGAAGGCAGAATTCCCAATTATGTGACTCTGAACTTTAATACCGAATTGATATTCCTGAATTTTAATTCAATTCACATTCACTGGGAGGTTAGGGTGTACCAGGTTTTGTACCAGACCATGTTTCTGAGCATCTTTTTATCCTAACCACATAGCACAATATCTAGAACTTACTAGGTTCTCACAATAGGTTTCCAGGATGAGTGTAGACAATGCACAGGTCCTGCTTTCCAGGAGCTTACAATCCACTGGGAAAGATGGATTTCAGCCCAGTGAGACCCATTTCGGTCTTTGAACCTGCAGAACTGAAGATAAGAAGTGTGTGTTGTTTTAAGCCACTAAGTTTGTGGTAATTTGGCATGGTGGCCACAGGAAGCTAAGCAGGGCCACAGACCTGGTTTCAGCTCTGAAAAGCTCCGTTGTGGCGGCATTTCATGAAAAATGAAGGGCCTGGAGCAGTGAAGGGAAACGGGTGCTGTTAGTCAAATCGTTGCTGCTCAGTGTGGTCCCTCCGAGCAGCAGTGGTGGCAGCCGGTTCGGCCCAGACCTACTGAGCCAGAGTCAGCGTTTTAACCAGACCCCCAAGTGATCTGCATTCATATTAAAGTTTGAAAAGCACTACGTTAACTTTATTAAAAACTGCTTTAAAGTGCGGAGAAATCTTTGATTCTTCTTTTTGACACACAAGGTTGCTGACAAGAAAAAATTTAAACACACCCACAAGAAGAACTGTGAGGTTGTTGTCTGTTACCACTGACAAAAAACAAACAAACATTCCTACTGCCCTTGAATCAGGAAGAAGGCCCTTCATCAAAATTTCTGTACCCCCGACTGCAAAGGATTTTTCTTCTTTGAAAATTCTCAGGAGTTGAAAGATTATAAATGGCAACATTTATACCTTATATATATATTGTACCTTTAAATAGATATTAGAATGCCTGGAATAGTACTCATAGAGCTGTGTTTTGGGGGACACAATAATTTCATTCACATAATACATTTTCTTTAATTACTTTAATATAAAAGACAGCAATGTTCCATATTTCACATAATACTTAAAAAAAGTTTTAAAACCCTCTACTAAGTATTTAATGAAAATAAATTTATTGAAGGATAGCAATGACTACAAAATTAATACTACCAAATCGTTACTGGTACCTATATGAATGGACGGTAGGTGGAGAAAATACCAAACAAAAATATGAACATTTGAAAACTACATTTTATCCAGCCTTTAACTTTTTGCTAAATCTTATGCATATTAGAAGGTATATTCGATATTTTTGTAAAGATAGTCAGCTAAGGTAATACCTCAAAGATTTTAAAACAGCCCTCCAGTAACTATATCACATTGCAAATCATCCCATCTGTTTACAAAATTAAAACAATGACCCAACGAGTCTTGCTAGGAAAAGACTCAATTAAAAAAGAGAACATTAACAGAGACTTAGTGATGGTGACCAGAATAAGAAAATTAGCATACACATGAAAGATATATAATTTCCCAACCTAATTCCGTCTGGTTAGGTGAATGCAACTCAGTCAGTAAACTGCCTGCAGTATGAGGGGAGGGGGTAACATGAATCAGAGACCTGTTTTTAAATCTCATATAAGAATCCTATTTCAATCAACCTGTAAAGTAAAAGCACGGGGTCCACATTAAAGTCTTAACATATGTGTTACAATAATACAAAAGTCAAACTATTGTCAACACAGCTTTTTCTCTGCAGTGCACAATATAAGAAAACTTCACGAGTGTGCACTCTTGAGTTATGATCAATGTATACAGTATAGACAAAACAGGCACCTATATTATAATTTTTTTTAAATAAATAAGAGCACATTAAGAAAAAAAAAAAAAGAAGATAAGCAGCACCTGAAGCCTTTGACATTTGTAACTAAATGCTGGTACCCAAATGTTAGACCATTTTTACTAAGTTTTACTAAGAGGCGCAAAAAAAGAGCCAATATTCGACTTAACATTTTAATTCTAGTAGAGACAAGAGCTTGTGGGGTTACGGCCCTGCCCCCTGATGGTGAGTGGCACCCAGTCCTTCACATGTCCTAGACTTTGGAAAGCAGACCCGACTCTGGGGCACTCGCCTTAATCAGGTTCTGGACTTCCTTGAATTTCGGATGGTCTTTATCCGCCACCAGCTGTAGCAGAACCGCCTCGCTGGTCGTCACTATGATCCCAGTTCGAGCAAGACGCTTTAAAAAGAAAGATAAAGACAAATGAAGACAGAAGCATGAGAATAAACGCCACGTTAAAATAGCAAAAAGGACGCTGGGACACAATAATTAGTATTCTCTATTAAATCCATGGTCCTTAGCTATACTATCGAAGTCAGTGATGGGGACAGACTTCAAACTAACCACACCACAAACCCACCGTGATTATTCTCGATATTGGTACTATGGGCTAGAAACAAGTAAAAGAAAACAGCCCATGTTATGCTTATATGTGCCACGGATAGATGGGAAATCAAGGCTAATGGCTGTGAAACAATGGTTCTCATTTACCTTTTCTGTCCACAAACATGTGACGTATAGCATGTGTGTCCTCCCACTAAGTAAGAAATGACTGGTGGTGGAAGAGCCTCAGGTTTCCTTTAAGAATGTGCCCCTTGCCCTAGCTGGTTTGGCTCAGTGGATAGAGTGTCGGCCTGGGGACTGAAGGGTCCCGGTTCAATTCCAGTCAAGGGCACATGCCCAGGTTGTGAGCTCGATCCCCAGTGTGGGGCATGCAGGAGGCAGCTGATCAATGATTCTCTTTCATCACTGATGTTTCGATCTCTCTCTCTCCCTCTCCCTTCCTCTCTGAAATCAACAACATTAAAAAAAAAAAAAAAAAGGAATGTGTCCCTGGATGACAAATGGATCCATCACCACTGCCACCATCGTTAACATGTTGGAAACACATTAACTACAGCATAAAAGTTAAGATTGTATAATTTCACTGACAGGTCAAAGAGTCCTCGCCAAATTGCTCCAGTGGAATCATGATAAAGAACTAAGAACAGAAATGTAAGGAGGGGAAGGAGGGAGAGAGTGGAAAGGGGGGAAGAGAAAAGAGGGAGGGAGGAAGGCAAACAGGGGAAAGTGTTGGGAATGGCAGGGGAGAAGGGGGGAGGGAGAAGGGAGGTGAGAAGAGAATTCTGGAGTAGAGATTGATTTTTTGGATGTATTTGTTATCAGAAACCCTAGGCAAACAAAAAAACCCCAAACAAACAGCAAAACAATGAACCAACTGTTATCCCCAGAAACATCTGATGTAAGAACCATGGAAGATGAGGTGGTGAGAAAAATTCCTAGGCAAGTCAGAGGGAAATGCCCAGGTCAGTCTCTCATTGGAAAGGAGGAGATGCTCATTAGATTCCACATATGAGCGACTCCTGGGGATCTAATGAACATAAATCGATGAACAAAAATAGATCTGAAGACACAGAAGCACCGAACAGACTGTCAAACCTCAGAGGGAAGGCAGGAGAGGGTGGGGGGTGGGAAGAGATCAACCAACGAACTTGTTATGAATATATGAATATGCATATGTTCATAATCCAGGAACACAGACAGTAGAGTGATGAAGGCCTGGGCTGGGGGCGGGGGAAGGCTGGGAGAGGTCAATGGGGCGTAAAGGGGACATATGTAATACTTTCAACAATAAAGATTAAAAATAATAATCTATAATAATAAAAGTGTAATATGCTAATTAGACTGGAAGTTCTTCTGGAAGAAGCTGCGGTGGCAGGGGTTGAGGCAGAGGTGGCGGGGACCAAGCTCCTTGCACGAATTTCGTGCATCAGACCTCTAGTAATAAAGAAAGAAAGAAAGAAAGAAAGAAAGAAAGAAAGGAAGGAAGGAAGGAAGGAAGGAAGGAAGGGAGGAAGAAGTCGCTTGAATAGCCAGACAGCCCCGTGGAGTGACAGTAAATCCTCCTTCAGATGGCTATTGATCCACAGGCCCTACCTTCCCATTGGCACACTCCTGCTTTTTACCAAAGATGTAGAAGGAAGTATAGCCACAGCCTGCTTCTGAGAAAACAGGCTTGGGCCTCGACAGCCAGGACAGAGGGCGTGCGGAGCAGAGGACCAGAACTCTCAGGACACGCAAAGACAGCCGGGAAGAATGGAGGAAAGAGGAAGCACAAAGCCAGGCTGCTTGTGCCCCTGATGGTGGCATAAATACCAGAAGGTGAGTGACCGAGGAGTTTTCCCAACACTTCTGGAAATGAATTTCCCCTCCTTGCTTTTCAGTCCACTAACATCTCACAACCTGTAGAAATCTCAAAGGACTGTGTGCCTGCTTCAGACAGAAGGGCAGGGAGCAAATACAGGACTAGCTGCAGCCCAGCTGTCTCTCCAGTCACTCAAACCCCGCTGGTGCCCTCCCCCGCTGGCCGTCCTGCCTGTCTTACTGCTCGCTGTTGCATCAGCGGACTTTCAATATTCAGCCTGAATCTGAATCACACACATTCAATGTCAGTGAAGGTGCTTTAGAAAATCCAAAATGCCAACCAAAGTGAGCTGCCACTCATCTTCCTAGTTCCTTAGTGAGGCAGGAAGGACAGAAAGCTGTTCCCAGGCCCAAGGAAGAAATCTGATGACCCAGGAAGAAGCAGCTTTCCCTAGTGGTCTGCTGACCCGAGCCTGGTCCCCTCAACAGCCTTCAGAGGTGCTGAGAGTCGGTCACAGTGGTGGGGTTGGCCGGGAGGCTCCAGGCACAGAAACACACTAAAACCTATACGATATTTCTTGGCTTCAAGACTGACATATGGCCAATATCGATTGGATTCAAAAGTAATCAAGCAAGAACCTGTGTAGGGGAAGGTGTGGCTGGTGGACCTTCGCACGGTACCTGCCCAGCCCCAACCTGAAAGCAGGGAGGGAACCACAGCAACTTTTGCAGAGCCTGGCAGGCTCCTGCTTTCCACCTTGACCTACAGGACACCCACAGTGCTGGTCCCAAACCCACTTTCTTTCCCAGCTTTAAAAGGGCAATTAAAACTCCAGCTGTTTTGACCACACACGGGTACATGATAATAGGTTTCCAATGTGCTTCCCTTACACTTGCAGTCTCAGTCCAACTAGGCCAAAGGAAAGGAATGATTAGTCTGACCCACAAACGAAAAATGCAAGAGCACAAAACCATGATGGCTTTAGAGAGGATGAGTGTGGGGGGTGTGGGAAGCAAATCCTTTAATTTCCAAGCAACACTAACAACTCCCCAGAAGTACTAGGACATCAACTTCAAGAGAGTGTTTTATTCTATTTTATTCTGCACTTACTCTACAATTATTAGTTGAAAGCAACAATGCCTGCTAGATGGGAGATGCTCAAAGAGTTTTGTTGAGTAAAGCTCACAGCACAGACCCTGGCTCAGAAAGTCCAGTAATGGCAACTATAAACCTTATTAGCATCATGACCTTGACAGGCCATATGGGTGGTCTCAGGAATTATCTTCAGTAGTTGTCTTCTAAAGGAACCAAGAAGAAAGGGAGCTGGCAGATTGCTATTTAACTTTCAGAGTCATAAAATAAAAGAGAAAATTTAACATTTCTCTCAATAATTTAGGGACAAACTAAAACAGTTCCATAGCAAATTCAGACTGAGCAGGAAACTGAAATGGGGCATGGTTCCCCTACCACCGTCTGACCTGATTCTGTTTTCCCTTTCAACCCCAACACTTTAACTCGGTGCTGTTTGCTTCATGCTTCTCCGAATCCACCCTAGACCCTATTCTTTCCTTCCCTCCTAAGAACTTTTCAGGACTAGTCCCTTCTGGGTCTTGAAAGCTAATACATGCTCATACATTTCTGATAAGACTAACCTCATGAAGACAACAAATAATAACAATAAAAATAAAAGCAGTAGTTATCATTTGTGATTACAGTGTCAGACACGGTATTAAGTGCTACCAATACATTATCTTATTTAATCCTCCCCAAATCCTCCCATGTAGTGAATATTATTTCCATTTCACTAATGAGCAATCTGAGGCATAGATATTAGATAACTGGTCTAAGGACACACATTTACAAAATGCCAGAACCTGCATTCACACCCATATTAACCCTCCACGGTGTGGACCCCTAGTCACTGAGATTACAGGCTACCTCTCAAGGAATGAGGTTCAGATGACAAAAAGCTATGTTTTTATTTTGAGTCTTGTGAGAAGACAGAATTGCCAACAATAACAATCTTCTGTAATAAATGCCATAATAAAGACATGTCTAAAAAACTTACATGACTGCAGAACAAACGCCCTTGAACTATCTTTATAAACAAGGAAGATTTGTGTTCCTTGTATGCTTTTAGTTTTCACTTCCTTGGAAACACTTCAAGTTCTAGACCTCAGCACTACCAGAAAGATAAATTATCCACAGAGGAACAGAGCTGCTTGCTGGGACAGTGAGATCTGACCGTGGAAGGGATAGCTCATTATTAAAATCTGAAATGTGGAAGTTGATTAACTCATGGTTGTAAAAACAGCTTAAAGATCTTTGCTGAGATGGGAAAAAGCAACACTTAGCACCTAAGTACCAGAGAACCCAATAGTCCAAATGGACTTAAAAATGTTTAAACAAAATTAATAAAACTGTTTCCACCCATAATCCCAAAATAGGACTCACTGTGGCAGGAATAAAATAGAGAAGGGATGCCTTAAACAAATGCTGCTCCCCACCTGCTCTGCACCAGCCCTCCCCACTGACTCTTCTCCTTCCCACCCCTGATTCTTCCTCATTTTCCCTACCTCACCATCCCAGGAAACACTGCAGGCTAAAAAGATGACAGCCATCCTTCAGAGAAAGTGGTTCATAGGCCATCAGTTAAAGAACTCTGCAATTCAATCTACATGTACATTACTCTAAAATCATTATAGGATTAGAATTAAACACACACACACACACACACACACACACACACACACACAGAATGAATCTTCACAATATGGAGTGAATATTTCAAAGGACTATGATGCACATCTTGACACTCTAGTCAGAGAACCACGATACACTGCATGTGAGTGGCATGCACAGTCCGTGACACATACCTCCTAGTCCCAGAAATTCAAGTCTGAGGAAACCTCACAGGAGGCTGAACCAGGCTTAGGCCCATCATGCCCTCGGTTTGGCTAGATCTTGGTTGAGTTAAACCTAGGTGAGCTGTTTTTAATTTGCAAATCTCTAAATCGTTCAGGCTCAGCTTACTGGAATTTCTCCTAGTTCATGCATAAATCTCTGGCAAAGTTATGACAAAAGACATCAAGGAGCTCTTGGCGTCACTAGTAATCTAGATCTAAGGAGACAGCGGAGATAAAATAGGATATGGTGGTGAGATCTCAAAGGTCTCTGGAAACCAATGCGTCTGATGCTGTCTGACCAAGCTTAAATTGAAGAGGTAAATCCTGCATTGCTGTCAAATATTCAATGCTCTTCAAACTTATTTGGAAAACTTGGTAAATGACTTATTTAACCGCAAGACAATTACCTCGAGAGCAAACATCCTGTCCATCATGCTTCTCGATGAGGTGGCGTCAGCCACGATATGAACCTCAATACCTCGGCCGACGAGCTCCAGGGCTGTTTGTTGGATGCACACGTGAGTCTGGAAGGAAAGTAAGAAATCATATGTAATAACGCGATAAATGTAAAGTATTTTGCAAATGTGCAACCACGCAGGTCTAATGACCTTGTCATAACCTAGTTTTGCCTCTAACCTGCTAGGTAACCTTGAGCATAAACAGCATCTCTGGTTTAGTTTCCCCTTTCTAACGTCAGGAACTGGATTACTTCAGCGTTCCTGATACTGGGATCCTTGACCATATTCTTAGAGCTCTGTGAGGATTTGTTAAAAGGTTTTCCTCTCTGTCACCTGGATGACCTTCCAACAGCTGATGCTACCACCCAGTTTTGATGCCACTCACAATTGGGTCTATTTCTGAATTCACACCAAGTGCCTAATACAAAGAATGAGTCTGCAGTACCGCAGACTGAGAAAGTAATGGGAAAACTGAGTTGTTACAAGGCGCCCAGGAGTAAAGGTAGGCCAGGTTAAAAATAACTCGTGACACAGGCAAAAAATACCCAGTGTCCCAGCACATGTATTATACAGGTTCCATCTTTCCAAGTACTAACTTGTAACAAATGGTTAGCGGAAAACATAAAGTAAAAACATGCTCCAACAATAACTGGATTATACAATGAATGAAAGCAGATCCCAATAATGCCATGATGCCAACATTCTCTTATACGACAAGAGAATTTTGGAGAATTATCAACTGACAGCTCAGCTCACTGCAATTAGCACTGGAGGACTGCTCAAAGATCATCTTCATTAGGCACGAGGTCTAATAATGATGAACGAGCAGAAAAAAGTGCAAAAGTCAGCAACAGCATTTGGTGTGACATTTATACAAAAAGGCTTCCTCTATATTGTCTTAAGATATTTAAAAGTACATCGAAACCTGAGACTACATCTTTCTACTGTTAAAACCTACTACTAGCCGAAACCGGTTTGGCTCAGTGGATAGAGCGTCGGCCTGCGGACTGAAAGGTCCCAGGTTCGATTCCGGTCAAGGGCATGTACCTTGGTTGCGGGCACATCCCCAGTAGGAGATGTGCAGGAGGCGGCTGATCAATGTTTCTCTCTCATTGATGTTTCTAACTCTCTATCTCTCTCCCTTCCTCTCTGTAAAAAAAATCAATAAAATATATTTTAAAACAAAACAAAACAAACAAAAAAACCCTACTACTATAAGTTTTTAGTAGTATAATCCTACTCTCAAAACATCATAAGTACATTAAATTAATAGTTTTTGGATTTCATTGTTTTTAAAGTAATTTTAAATCTAGTTCAATAGTTGTTGAAAAGCTGTAAGTAAACACTTATATTCTATTTGCACATGTCCAAGAAAAACAAATCAAACAAAAAATCATTTTAATCAGCATTAGGAATCCATGAGTATTTTTTTTCCTTTAAAAAGGTATGTACATGGTTTGAAATGTGAATGACCATGAACTACATGACTTCTAAGGTTTTTCTAGAGCAAAATTATGACCCAAGGTGAAATCCTACAACACAAAAGTAATGCCTTTAGTAAAACTGTGTTCCAAAAGTAGTGGTTAAAAGTAAAAGCCCAAGAATTTATCAACCTAGATTGCAATCCAGCTCCATCCCTTAATGTTATACAGCATCTGTGTTTTAGTTTCCTCGTCTATAACATGGGGAGGACTTAGCGTAGAGGGTTGCTATGAGAGTTTAATGAATTAACATATAAAGTGTTTAGATTACTGCCATGCAAATAGTCAACACTTAATAAACGGTGGCTATTTTTCATCAGGATTACCACCTACATGGTATTCTATATACAAAAATGCATTCCGGAATCAAGTTTTCTACAAATGAGATTATGTCCACAACATCACAAAAGGTACTTACTTCTACTCCAAATAACACAACGCTCCTGACTCCAGGAATCTCTGCTAACGCCGCTTCCACCTCTGGTAACACCATGGAAAACTTGGTCTTTGGAAGCACCAGTTTCACACCCGTTAAGTCGATTTCTTGAACAGTGCTTCCAAGACCTTTGGGGTACTGCTCTGTTACAATAACTGGAATTCCTAAAATCCGGGCCCCTTGCAACTGGAAGGAAACCACACACACAAACAAAAAACCCCCGCAAAGATAATTAGTAACACGCATATATATATATATGAATGTATATCATGCTTTAGTAAATTGGAAAAAATAAGCAAACGTACCAATCTTTGTCCCACACTAATAATATCCCCAAAATACTTGATGGCTGGTCGGAACCTTTCCTGCATATCACAGCAGAAAAACACGGTGCTCGAAGGTGTAAGATTTCCCAGGGTAGTGAGCTGAGGAAAAAAAGAAAAAAGAATGAGTTAGCACTCATTATCCGATGACATTTATTTTCGGTGGAGGTCAATAAAAGAAGAAAATGTTTCTACTGTTTGATCCACTAAGTCAATTTCTTCAACTATTATCCAAAAGAAATGATCTAAACTACAGAAAAAAAAATTATCTACGAAGATTTCCAGTGAACGGCTTTTAATAGTGAAAATTAGCAATAAACCCGGCCAACAATACAGAAATGATTTCACAAATTTTAACATTCACAGGACAAAACATTTTTTAGCCAATTAAAATAGCATATATCTATATCTATATCTATATCTATATCTATATCTATATATATATTTCAAAAATTTGTACCACCTAAGAAGAAATGCTTATAATCTACTGTTAATTTTAAAAACAGAGCACAGTTCAATAGTATTCCAATAATGTTAAAATGTGAATAAGAAGTAGAAGCAGGCCCTTGCTGGGTAACTCGGTTGGTTAGAGCGCTGTCCCCATAAATTTGATGTCTGCATTTTAAAACATATTTATCAAAATCAGAGGCATCGGGTTCGATCGCTGGCCAGGGCATGTATGCATAAATAAGTGGAACAACAAATTCATGTTTCTCTCTCTGTCTCTAAAATCAAAAAATAAGATATTTTTAAAAAGTAGAAGCAAATATATAAAAATAAGAAGTGGTTATATATAGGGTGTCCTTAAAAATGTATACACACACTTTGAATAATTATAAAGGCAGTGTTTATTAAAATACAGTTCATTTTCAAAATTGAGCTATCAGCTGTTAAAGTGTGTATATGTTTTTTTGGGGATAACCTGTAGTTAAGGGTATTAATAATATTTTCTCTTTATACCTTTTTCATATTTTCCAAGTGCTATTTAAAAACATTTTCTGAATGCTATTTAAAAATATGTATTACTTTTATAATAAAAACAAACATTACAACAGTAAATAACTTAAAGTTGATAATGGCATTGCTTATAAGTACAAAGTAAAATTGAAAATAACCTGTAATAGAGACCATGGAACATAAAACTAAAGAAAGCAGACAGAAACAAATCCAGAATTATTGCCTGTCATCAAGACAGAAATATTATGATGCTATTAAGAATAACTTACAAGTTCACAAAAAGGCAATGAAATGATGCCAACCACATCACCAATGTTAAATGGACAGACATAAATTTGATGTCTGCATTTTAAAACATATTTATCAAAATCAGAGGCTTCAATGACAAGATGAGAAAACTAGGTATCAGATTACCAGGCTTTGCATTGCCATAGTTGGTCTATTCTAACAACTTGGGCCCAATATGAATCCACCAAGAAGTGAAAATCATTACTGAATATAAGAATTTAACCAACTGGATTCTTAAAAGTCCATGTTGCTTTTCTTTCCACCTTCTCAAATTACAGAGAGCCATGTAAAGCATTCAGTCTGGTCCTGAATGAACCCACACCACTATTCTTCTAGCTACTCTGCTAATTAACCTGTTTTGCTTTCTCTAAAACCACTCCCCGATGATAATTTTCTACAGGAATCCGTGTCTCCATTACACAGCGGTGGCTGCACCATTGCCTGGCCCTAGATGCCTTACTGCCTCAGCACACAGCATACCCTCAGGAAACAGGTTACTACAGGAATTCAGTGAATCATTAAAAGGAATCTTTCATCCTTAATAGTATGACTGCTCTAATCAGTTTCCACTTTATTCCTCTATGCCCTGGTCTGAGGGATTCTGGTGCTTTAATCTCCCTCTGGTGTTAACTCCATAAACACGCACTGATTAGCCATGTGCACTCCAACACAAGTTCACGCAGAGCAAGTGACACCTGTAATTCAAACACAATGTATAGGATTTCCTACTTTGCCAATAAAGAATATTAAAATAAATATCCAAGCATCTTATATTATATACTAGAGGCCCGGTGCACAGATTTGTGCATCTCAGCCTGGCCTGTGCCCTCTCGCAATCCGGGACCCCTGGGGTGATGTCGGACTGCTGGTTTAGAAACTGGCAGTCCGACATCCCCCAGGGATGCAGTAGTGCCTGAAGCGGCAGGCGGCCAGGGAGAAGCCTGAGCCCAGGCTGGGCACCGCTCCCGCTCATCCCGGCCCCGCTGCGCCTGCCACCGCCACCACCACCACTGCCGCTGCTCAGTAATCTTGCTGAGCAGCGCTCCCACTGTGGGAGCGCACTGACCACCAGGGGGCAGCTCCTGTGTTGAGCATCTGCCCCCTGGTGTTCAGTGTGTGTCATAGCTACCAGTTGACCTGTTTGGTCGTTTGGTCGCTTAGGCTTTTATATATATAGATTCTGTGGGATTAAACACTATGTATAGGGTTTTCTTAGTTTTAATTAAACTAAATATTGAAGCATCTTAAATTATATATGCTACCTTTGGCTGCTTTCTTACATACATTTTTAATGAAAATATTACGCCGCCATTTTGGTAATTTTTCAAAAGCTGTGAATATAATATGCATATAGGTACTTAGGGCAGCGGTTGCCAACCGGTGGTCCGTGGACCACTGGTGGTCCGTGAGGTCCGAAAGTTTGGCGACCGCTGACTTAGGGGACCATTTTTAAAAGAATCATTCTTTATGTCTATGTATTTTAAACTCTCAGTAAACATTAAATCTTCGTTACAAAGGCTCACAATCTATATTATTTTCTTCTTATAAATTTGAATCGTAGGTCCCTAGTCATTCACAATGTGTTTAGGGCACACTATGAAAAGCAGTTTACCATCAACCAGCCTGTTTTAAGTGATAGTAATAGAACTCAGCCAAGCTCAACACTCCCCGACAGGGGGAAGCCAGCAAGCATGCAAAATAAAACTCCCAGGCAGCTGCTCCTATGCCGGAGACCTACTTAAATCTCCAAGATCACACACTCTATTGACTAACTCAAGTTTGGTTGTCTGGATTCTAAACTCATAGATGGTTTATAAACAGCAAACAAGAAAGCAAACTGCTGGAGACTGGTAAACTGATAGCAGCAAGAAATGACAGCTGACCGAGAAAAGCTTCAATGCACAATAAAAGCAGATCAAAACTCAACTTGTCCTACAATCTAGACCTTTAGTGAAGGAATTCACACTCTATTGACTAACTCAAGTTTGGCTGTCTGGATTCTAAACTCATAGATGGTTATAAACAGCAAATGAAAAAGCAAACTGCTGGAGACAGGCAAACTGACAGCAGCAAGAAATGACAGCTGACCGAGAGAAGCTTCAATGCACAATAAAAGCAGATCAAAACTCAACTTGTCCTACAATCTAGACCTTTAGTGAAGGAATAACAAGCTGTATAAAACTTATAAATTGGAATAATATCATGTTATCACACACATTAAGAAAATGTTAAATTATATAACAGGGCAGGACTATAATATAAAATGGTCAAAATATTAAAAAATATTTTGGGTACTTGAAGAAATAAAACCTTACCTACCCGGAAATCCTAAATATTCAGAGTTGTGATCTCCTGGGGTTCCTATTCCCTGGAGCTTCCCTGTACCTCATTTCAGTGGTGAGGTATCCTGTTCTGGGCAGGGGACCACATCAGATGCATGTCACATTAGACACAGGTTGAGGAGGTCAGAAAATGCAGCCCTAAAATCCTCACTGCCCTGAAAAACCTTTCTAGTTCAGGAGCTCATCATCTATAAACGTTCAGTGAATGAAGAAAGAAACCAGAGAGATAAGGTGGCAAGGCACTTTTTTTTTTTTATGCAGAGATGACTGGTTATAATTTAGTGAACCAAAAATGCCTAGATGGTCTCCTCTCAAGGAGTTTAACTCCCAACATCCCCTTGAATGTGGCCTGCACTTAGTAATTCACTTTCTCAGAGTAGAGCAGAGGGAAAAGGGTAACTTTATAGGGGAAAAGCCTGGCTAACACTGCCTCGAATAGATTAAGATGAAGGTAACCCCCTGCCTGGCGTGGCTCAGTGGTTGAGCGTTGACCTATGAACCAGGAGGTCACAGTTTGATTCTCGGTCAAGGCACATGCCCAGGTTGAGGACTTGACCCCCAGTGTGGGGCGTGCAGGAGGCAGCCGATCAATGATTCTCTCCCATCATTGATGTTTCTATCTCTCTCTCCCCCTCTCCCTTCCTTTCTGAAATCAATAATAAAAATATACTTCAAAAAATACAAATTTTTTAACCAATGATGTTATGTTGATGGTATGTAGCTTTCATATAATGTGAGAATGACCTTCATAATCTTCCTCTCAAAATCCCACAACTCCAGTCTAAGCATGAGAAAAAAATCAGATGAATTCAATTTGAGGTACATTCTATCAAATTATTTGGCCAAGACTCCTCAAAACTGTCAAGATCATCAAAAGCAATGGACGTCTGGGAAACTGTCATAGCCCAGAGGAGCCTACGGAGACATGGCAACTAAATGTAATTAGTATCCTGGATCGGATCCTGGAACAGGAAAAGGGCATTAGGGAAAAGCTAGTGAAATCTGAATGAAGTGTGGAGCTCAGTTAATGTTGGTTCCTTGGTTGTGACAAATATGCCACAGTAATGGGGGGAAGCTGGATACAGGTCTACAGGAAGTCTCTGTGCTATCTTTGCTATAAATCTAACATTATCCTAAAATAAAACATTTGTTTTAAAAATAAATGGTCTCCCCAGGCTATGGTAGTTAGGGGGAAAGATGCTCCTTTATGAATAACCTCCATACTTTACAAGCCAAGAAAGAGGCTTTGAGGCTACACAAAACAAATCAAACCAACCCAACCCATGTCCAGACAACCCCCCACCCCCCAAATCCACGTGAATTCCAAAAGCTGTTGTTAAATTACACATTGACTCTATAATTCACAGGGACTTCTTACTCTGACTCATGAATTTCTCTTAAAACCAACTAAAAATACTGTTCATATGCCCAGCTTGGTGATTGAGCGTTGACCTATGAACCAAGAGGTCATGGTTTGATTCCCGGTCAGAGCACATGCCCAGGTTGTGGGCTTGATCCTCAGTGGAGGACATGCAGGAGGCAGCT